GTCATCTCCCGGGCAGGCGGGAATCCAACTCATGCGGAAGCGGCTTTAGATTCTCAGTGCTGTGCTTTAACCCGCTGCGCCACCAGGGAGGGCCGTGTTTTTTTTTTTAATATAGTGATTAAATCATCAACCACCATTAGAGGGGTGGACACCACTATCCCCACTGCACAGATAAGCATATTAACATTTGAAGTGGTTTGGTTGGTTTTCCTAATACAAACAGCTAATAAGAGGTAAACTAGACATCCCAGTTATGGTTTATTGATTCCAAATATTTGCATTTAGAAGAGTTTTCACCATTTTATCTTTAACATTCCCACTTTTGTTGAATGTTGTATATTTCCTTCCTTTTGAATATTTGATTCATTTTGATAAGTTTGTTTTTGAGATTTAATTATAAGGAGTATCAACACTATAAAAGATATCACTCCTTTGTCTGTTGGATAAATTGCATTTTTGCTACTTTATTATTTGGTCATCAGGAGAATTTAAATTGGGTTGGAACGCAGCCAGAGAAAAAAGGTTTCTCCTTATCACAAACTCTCTGGAACCGGCTACTTTATTAAATACTTTTTTTATTCTTCGTAGTCCAATGCAGAAATAAAGGAATATTTCTTTATTCCTATAAAAAATGATTAAAATTTTTAAAATATTTTTCTACATTATTTTGGAAAGACAACAGGTCATGTAATTTCTTTCCTAATTACTGTGACTGGGTGTGTGAAGAACATTGAAATAACATAGCCCCAAGAGGCAAGTGTATGCTCTGTGTTTGTGTGTCTGAGAGAGAGAAAGAGAAAGATGTAGTGGACCAGGAGCAATTCTCAGGGTAGGAACACTTCAGCTCATGTACTCCAAAATGTGATCCTTAAAATACAAATGCTAAAAAGCTAACAACCAGACAGAGATAAAGGGTGGATTCATTTCTATTCACAAGAATCACTGTAGATGGCATGAATTATACATAGAAAACCCTAAAGACTCCACTCAAACACAATAAGGAACTATAAGAAAAGTGGCAGTTTATAAAATCAATTAACAGAACTCTGTTACCTTCCTATCTAAACAATATCAGTTAAAAGAGAAAGGAAACAATCGTATTTACAGTAGCACCAAAAAAGCATTAAATATCTAAGGGG